TTTGTGGTTGTTTCTAGGATCAATTGATGCACTGGTAGAAGAAAATCAGAGGCTGGAATCACAACTGCTGAAGCTACAATTACAAATATCTGAGATGACACTGCAACAGAAGCAGCCTTTATGCAAGCGCTTTTGTGCCTCTGATAGTGAATTTCGCTTTTATACCCGATTTCCATCAGAGGAGATCTTCATGGTGTTTTGGGAATCTGTGCACCCATCAGCATGTACGCTGGTCTACTGGTCCAGGGCACAGAACATGGTCCCTGGTTATCGTAAACGTAAACTGCCTCTGATTGATGAGTGTTTTCTTTTCTTTTGCGGAATTGCAGCTGGACTCAAAGAAAAAGTGCTAGCTTCCATATTTGACGTCAGCCTCTCGACAGTGAGCCGTGTCATCATCACTTGGGCAAACTACTTGTTTCAAGTTCTTGGGGCACAGCCGATTTGGATGACGCGAGCTCAAGTTCAAGCAACAATGCCAGACAAATTTCGCCAGTACTGCCCCAATGTACGTGTGATTGTGGATTGTACTGAAGTGCGTTGCGAGGTACCAGCATCTCTCACCTTACAATCAGAAACGTTTTCCAACTATAAAAACACCAACACTTTCAAGGGCCTGATTGCCATTGCTCCCTGTGGAGTTGTCACATTTGTGTCCAAGCTCTACACTGGTTCAATTTCAGACAAAGAATTGACTATGAGATCTGGCCTACTCCAACTGCTAAGTTGTGGGGATGAAGTAATGGCTGACAAGGGTTTTGTTATTGAGGACTTGTTGGCCCAAACTGGCGCGAGCCTAATCATACCTCCTTTCAAAACTAAAACACAACTGTCTGCTGCTGATGCCCATAAAACACAGGCAATTGCTCGCCTTAGAGTGCTGGTGGAGAGGGCAATACGAAGAGTGAAGGAGTACCACATTTGGGACTGTGTTGTGCCGCTGTCCCTGACTGGCACCGTCAACCAGCTGTGGGCAGTTTGTTGCCTGCTGACCCACTCATCATTTTTTGGATATAAAAAATGACAAGCCAGTGTGATGTTGTGTCTTTGTTTTAACTTGTATTGCACCAAAGCTGCATTTTGTTTTTTTGGGGGGGGGGGAAGAGAGAGAGAGTACAAATTCAGCTCATATGATATAAACATAGCAATACCAGATGTTAATTTCAGTGTTCTTTCAAAGGTAAAATTAAACATATTACCTATTCAACAGTTGCACTTATAGGACTTTGATATGCTAATTGCAGTTTTGTTTGCATCAATTGTGCCACTCGTGTTTGCCTTAACTTGTTTGTCCAAAACAGAATGTGATTGTATGTACACTATCCTATCAAATCTGTGTATAGTAAAAGATAACCATAGACATTCAGTATTTGTGTTAACTTTTACTTCAAAAATGTAATCATTGCCATTCACAAGAGGACATTTGACAAATAATTACATTTATTTACAGTGAAAAATAATAGTGATAAATCATAAGGAACAAGTTTCAATTATTTGAGCTGTTATTTACAATGAGCTATTACTTAAAATATTTACATCATTACATTTACATTATCAGAACAAAACCAAGACAAAATATGGGAAAAGAACTGAGAATTGAGGATTTTCAGAGGGATCGTAGACCCTGCCATCAGGACTGGCTCCAAGGTGAGGGGCATCTTGATGTACAATGAAGCCGCAAGGATAGACAGACAGGTTCCCGTTTTCAGCATAGATCTTCAATATGCCTGCTTCCAGTTTGAGCCCTCTCTTCATTGCAGCAGTCTGGATGTTCCCTCTGAGAATACGGCACGCCAAAGATCTCGCTGTAGACTCACCTCGTACATGGCAGGCTTCCCTAAATCTGCTGGCTGTCAGTCTAGGGCGGCGGGCTTCAAACCACACTGGGCTGTTTGACTGCCCCCTGGTCTGTGCCTCTATGGCTGTAGATAACGCTGCGGTCACCTGTAGGCTCTCCATGTGGACGGATTGTGCATACGTAGGTACGAACACATGATCACTTTTGAATGAATAGCCCTCAACTGGCAGCGAAGGAAAGTCTGGAGCACCAAGATCCTTGACATATCCACCGGTGTCTTTTGCAGGATACTGATAGGATAGCACAGATCCATGAGGCACCAGACCAAATTTGGAGTCCACCATTGTCATTTCCTCAAGGCCAGAAAGAATCTTGCAGATTCCCAATTGGGGTTGTATGTGTTTTAGCTTCTCACCAATTGTCATCAAGTGCTGATCAGGGAGAGGACCTATGACACATTAGCCAATTTAGTTCAAAGCCAAGTATGGATTGATCCAATTGACAAAAATAGAATACAGAAATTAGTCTTAAAAGCTTCAAGTAACAATACAATTAGTTATTAATCACTTAATCTGCTAAATAATCTAACCTTATTCCATTCATAGTCCAATGAATAGACTAGAATATAGTTGTAAGATTAACTATAACTTGTCTTATAGTTAATCTTACAACTATAAGCCAAACATATAGTTGTAAGATTAAATGTTTCATGGTATAAGGTTTTTATAATATTGTAAATTACCTGAATGTGCCGGATAAAGGGTTGATTTAACAACAGCCTTGGTTGCTTTCTTGAGCCTTGGTTTGCTCACAATCATTTCCGACACCGCTTCTGGCTTGATCCCCTGTATAAAATAATACAGTTAACTTAAATAGCTTTTATTTGCCACCTCATTAAAATATCCATGATTAGGATTAACCTGGGTTCGTGGTCTATGCCAGGTCTGCAGCTCTTCAGTGCAGGACAGATCAGCTGGAACCACTGGCAGCTTCAGTGTGCTGAAGTGTGCACTCTGATACAGAAGAGCCACCAGATGATTGCACAAAATCTTTCCGGCAGCACAAGAACAGCTGGTTGACATGACCACGACTGGAACTATCCGAGATTGTAATGTGATCTGGAATGAAAAAGTAATAAGTCATAAAGCAGATATCACCTGGCACAACATAACAAGAGTCACAAGTGAAAACAGGATAAAAGCAGAACTCGTTGCAACAGCAACAACTGGGTATAAAATAAACTGAATGACAACAAACTGCAACCGCAGTTAGCTATTAATAACAACATGCCAGCATTATATAGTAAACCTGTAAGCAATGTGGTGGCTCACGCTTCCTCGTGGACTTGTGGCAATGGGCTCGAACAGCCACCTCTCCTCCAACTATTTCTGACACTATATACATTTTAAATAAAAGAAAAAACAGCACCTGAATATTGCACATTTTTTGGATTAGGCCATTTAAGAGCCTGCTACCATAAAATGACATTAAGGCAAATAGTCACATACACATGTCGTGACAGATAAAGAGAGACTTGAATTTTGAATGGTGTGTGTTTTGCTTTTGTGATGACGTAACATCCGGTCTCTCCAGCCAATGGGCGCGCTGAGCCCGCCCCTCCAAAAAGGGGTGTGAATCGTAAATGTAGCTTATGAAACGTAAACGTAACTTTTGAAGCGAAACATGAAAAATATGAAGCGTAAGTGTAAGTTTTACGTTTACTACAGTTTTTTCGTTTACAATATATTTTTACGTTTACAATACTTACAACCCACGTTTACAATTCCTGCTTTACGGTTACTGTAAGCGCCATTTTTACATGTTTATTGTATTCACTTAATTTACATGTCATTATTAATATTTGATTTAATTTAGAAAATGTTATGCCAACATGATTGTAATGAGATTTGATTTGAGTAAGTACATGGTTTTGGCACGCGCCATGCTCTGATGTTGTTGTTACATGTTGCTACGCAACAAAGTAATATAACGGCTGTACCTTGAATAAACGAGAGATGGAGAGCAACACAGTTGTTTTACCGTCTGGTGCGACTGCATCTAACGCGTGAAAACAGGCTCAATTCATCTTTTACAGAAGAGGGTAAATTAGAAACTACAAAGAAATGAACTCAAGATTAGCCTCTATAGTTACGTTTAAGCAGACCCACGTTTACAATTCCTGCTTTACAGTTACGTTTAAGCAGACCCTATTTTGACGCCATAGATCTGCTCCTGGCCTTTTCGTGTGTAATGTCTCTTGTCCAAAGACGCAGTTTCCGCACCGCTAGACGACTCCCCCCTTCATTCATAATTCCCCTTTTTATAGTGGGAACGAGCAGAGTCAACCAATTGCTGTCTGGGGGTGTGGACTGCTCCACAGCCTCTGCCGTAGTCCAATCTACTCAGTTCCATGCAGACAAAACATAGCAAACTACACTAAAATACACACTTGGATGCAAAAGATACAACGGGCAGAGGACTACAGCTAGATTAGATGGGTGCCACTGACATACCCCCCGTCTATAATATTGGTCGTCCCGATCAAGCTCAGTCACCACATCTGACAGGTCTTTTTCCTATATTTATACGTTGAGACCGTCGTGCACTTTGGGGAAATTGTTCTGAATGCTCAGGTGGAGTAGCAGGCTCTGGGCTCCTTATATTTGCTTGAACTGGGGCCCTGGCTGATTCTGGGAGGTACGACTGAGTTACCAGTTCTGGGAGCCACCATGTCGGAGGGGGCTGGCACATTTCACTCTGTGGTTCGGCTGCTTCTGGGGTTGTAGACTCCTGGCTGGGCTCCAACACAGTTAACGGACATTGCCTCAAGTTATTTCTGTGAATGGTGCGTGTAGGAGGGGGTGAGAGTAGCTCAGTTGGTAGAGCACTGGCCTTTAGGCCTGAAGGTCGTGGGTTCGAGCCCACCATAAGACCTACTTCACGACTCCCACTGATGACTGCTGTCGTTGTGTCCTTGGGCAAGACACTTAACCCCACTTTACCTGAAGCCCCCGCTGAAAGATCTCAGCTCCTGTGGACTCACCACCTGCAGGAGGATCAGTGAGGGGCTGGTGCTCTGTGTACTGGGTGCAGCTCTGACTGCCACCCCCCCGACCCAGAAATGGATTAAGGGGAAGAAAATGGATGGATGGATGGTGCGTGTAGGAGAGTCTTTACCTTCAGGGCGTATAACATACACCGGATGGTCTTTGCGCAGCGGAGCCACGACGACATAGAGTTCCGGGTTCCATCTGGGGGACAGCTTCCCACCTGCTCGACGACGGAAGTTTTGGATGAGGACACGCTCCCCCGGCAACAGGGGCGCAAGCTTTGCCCTCCGGTCATAACGTGTACGGTCATTTTCTTGTCTCAGGTCAGTGTTTTGTTTTGCCACTTCATAAGCATGGTTGAGTGCCTTTTGGTGTCCTTTAACCCATCCTTCTAGAGAGTGGCGGTCAGCGGTGGGCCCCAAACCTGTGGTCCAATCTACCGGCAGCCTTGCATGTCTCCCAAATACCAAGTAGTGGGGGGTCAAACCGGTAGTTCCATGGAGGGTGTTGTTATAGGCCTGGACAAGTGCTGGTAAGTGGGTATGCCAGTGTGCCTGTTGGGTTTCTTCCAAGGATCCCAAGAGCCCCAGGAGGGTTTAGTTAAACAGCTCACAGGCCCCATTCCCCTGTGGGTGGTAAGTGGTAGTGCGGTCCTTTTGGCAACCGTAGAGTTGACACAGTTGAGCTATTAACGCTGATTCGAATGTAGCGCCCCGGTCGCTGAGGATGCGCTCTGGACATCCGAAAATGTGGATCCAATGTGTGTACAACGCGCGTGCTGTGGTCTCTGCTCCCTGGTCTCTCTGGTCGAGTCTGCTTCTGCCCTTTCCATTGGCGTAGCAGGGCCAGGTTTGGGTCTTTGGCTTGTCGCTCCCTCCACTCTCCAGCCCGATTTCAGTCTGGTCTGCGATAGTCCTCAACACGGTGGCACCTTCAGACAACCTGCTGTAAGAATAGGCTACACTTCCTTGGTTGTAGCTTCAGCCCATGTTCATCCAGCCGCTGGAACACTTCTTCGAGGTGGCGGAGGTGGCTATCAAAATCTGCAGCCATAGCACCATCTCAGAAAGGGGCGGAATGGTTATGGGGGATTGGTGCGGTAGCTTGAGCTGTACACAAATTTGTCCTTTTAGCTCTTCTGGGTCTGGTACAGAGCGCAAGGGTGGTGTGTAGGTCTGGACCCTCTGGCTCACAATGGCATCCCCTTCATCCTCCAACTCCAATTCTAAAGCACGGACTTCCTTGCATGCACCAGTAAACGTCAGGTCTGTATTGCGTCTCAAGTTAGCGAGTTAGCTCTTGTTTCACAGGGCTTCTCTTTAAGCCCACCATTAGTTGGTCTAATAGCAAGTCATTGTAGCTCTCTGCTGCGGCTCTTTCCAATTCTTGCCATTTGTAAAAGTGTTCTGAGTCTCAACACAAAAGCATTTATGTTTTCGTCAGCCCTTTGCTTACAGTTGTAAAAACTAGTTCTCAATTGCGCTTTTGCTGTGAGCCTATCATACTGTTCCTTTAAGAAGGCTAAAATCTTACTCCCCATATCTCTGTTAGCTGCTCGCTCTAATAGTAGCTCTCTTTTTGCTTCCCCCTCCAAGGCAGTCAATATAAAATCAGCTTCTTGCTCTGGGGTTAACCCTTGTGCTCTGAGCATAGCCTCCGCCTGAGCTTTCCATTCTACAAATTTTGTTAGCTCTCCTCCAAATGTTGGGATAGTGAACTGTGCAGTGATAGAATTAGATCCATTCCTAGAGCTTGTACCCGCTTGCGCCTGCATTTAACAGTGGTACGGATCCTGTCTCAGCAACGCCAAAATGTCACAACAGGTGTAAGGTTCTTTTCGATCCGTTTAAAAATACCACTGTTAAATAACAGGCCAAAGTCAAGCAGGTGTACAAGTTTTAATAATAAGTAATACAAAAGTCTTTAAAATATGCAACTAAAAGCTTGTGCTAAAATACATAAAAGCCCATTTTAAAAAGGAGATTAAAGTCTGGAGCTAAAACAATGGACCACAGTCTGTCTCTGGAAGACTGCGAGCGTGTCCCCCGCCTCCCGCTGGTCTGGGCCCTTGGTTTGGCGTCTTAGCTTGTCTGGGCGTTTCTGGGTCTCCTGCCCCTGCAGACTGGTCCCGCTGATTCGCTCCGGGCCTGGTCCCGCTGCTCCGCTCCGGCTTGGTCCAGCTGCTCTGCTCCTAGCCTGGTCCCGCTGATCTGCACCGGCCTGGTCCCGCTGATCCGCACCGGCCTGGTCCCGCGGATCTGCTCCTGGCCTGGTCCCGCTGATCCGCACCGGCCTGGTCCCGCGGATCTGCTCCTGGCCTGGTCCCGCTGATTCACACCGGCCTGGTCCCGCAGATCTGCTCCTGGCCTTTTCGTGTGTAATGTCTCTTGACCAAAGACGTAGTTTCCGCACCGCTAGACTCCTCCTCCCTTCATTCATAATTCCCCTTTTTATAGTGGGAACGAGCAGAGTCAACCAATTGCTGTCTGGGGGTGTGGACTGCTCCACAGCCTCTGCCGTAGTCCAATCTACTCCGTTCCATGCAGACAAAACATAGCAAACTACACTAAAATACACACAAATTGAGTGATCACATGTGATTATGTGATCAAAGGGGTGAGTGTTAGTATTAGATAGCAATATGGCCTACGTGCAGGACTCTACAAGGACTCTGATTATTTTGACCATGATGTGACTGTCTCTGTGTGACACGTACGTCTTTCGATGTGTGACGTGACAATGACTATATAAACTGTGTACTGACTCCATTTTGTCTGAGAGAAGGAAACAATGGAAACCACTGGAACTTGAGAGAAACTTAAATAAACTTTCAGAGTTTGGCGCACCACGATCCGTCTCTGTCTGCTTCATTCCTGACAGATTTGGTGGAGAATGCGCGGCTCAGTGTGCACCATTCTCTGGATTGTTTTGAGGGAGTTTCCTTTGTTTTCTTTTTCTCGGCGTGGGAGAGCTGGGAGTGTCGGGGCCTGGGAGCGGTCCAGCAGGCTGGAGAGGCGACCGGCTCCGGGACTTTTTCGCTCCCTCACTATATTTTTTTGTGTCCTGTTTTTTGGACTGACTAAGCGTTTAAAATTGTTTTCCCATGTCCACATTCTGGGGATTTCTGACTTGTGATTGGTCTCTGCCGATGGAAACTAGTTCCCGGTACTAGTGAGCGCTGGTTCATGATCTGGGAGACCCGGTTGGACGTGGAAAAGCTGATATTTGGTGGACTTCTGACGGTGCCTGGCGCCCTGTTCAACAAAAGGTAAGAGCGGACACCTGTTTATTCAAAGTCTGCTAATTGAGTGAACTAAATTATGGTCTGTTTTGAGGTCCACCAAATGTCATATATCTATAGATCAGATTAGATTAAAAACAGGTTCGCTACCTGAAAAAGTGTTGGCCATAAAGTGAAGGATCCATAAGTGTATAGGCCATAAAGTGAAGGATCCATAAGTGTATAGGCCATAAAGTGAAGGATCCAAAAGTGAAACCATGGTGTAAACATAAAAGCAATAAAAAGGGAAATGTGATAAAGAGGCCTTTGTTACAAAAGCTTAGAAATTGACGAATTTCAGGCTGATAAATGACAAAAGTAAAGAAGCAACAATATTTCAGTGATCACGGTTTAAATTACATACAGAAAAAGGGAGTTTTTGTTTTTTAGTTTTTTTTCGGCGTGACCAGAGTTCATCGGAGAATGCCGAGTTTTATCTACAGTTGAGCTATGAGAGCTTTCGTGAGTTATTTACATTTTTTGCCGAGTTTTATCTACAGTTGAGCTTTAGCTTTTGTGAGTTATACTTTGTGAATACTCTTGAGGACTAGCAAGATGGCGCCGAGTCAGGGCGGCGCAGTGAACGCTCTGGTGCGCACAATCTGTGTTTTGGTTTTTTTCGTCTGGGATTCACTTGCCACAGTGAAATATGATCGGCAAACACTTCTGCACATTCGGGATCACGCGGGTGACGGGTCACTCGTTTTACCTGAACTGAGGTGCACAAACTTCCTCAAGTGTCCCACTCGAGAGGCAGTGGAGTAAAACTAACAACCTCCAGTTGAACGCATCGAAAACATGTGAACTGGTCTACGACTTCAGTCGCAATAGTTCTCATTTGCCTGTCGTAATCGACAACTCTCAGATGCAGATCGTAGAGGAGTGCAAATTTCTGGGTTTAACTCTGTCTAACGACCTGAAATGGGTTAAAAACACTGACTGAGTCGTTAAGAAAGCTCGTCAGCGTCTCTACTTTCTGCGTAAACTTAGAGAATTTACCACTAACTCTAAGATTCTGCTTAACTTTTATCGCTGCACCATTGAGAGTTTACTTGTTGGTTCTGTGTTTGTGTGGTTTGGAAACATCACAGATAAAGAAAAGAGATCTTTAAACAAGGTGCTCCGCTCTGCAAAGAGGACCGTGGGCTGTGAGCTTCCTGTTCTGGAGGTTCTTTATAAATCCAGACTTTTAAACAAAGCTCTTAGGATTGTCAATGACTCTTCTGGCCACCCTGGGAAAGCCATGTTCCAGCTTCTTCCCTCTGGCAGAAGATATCGCTCTCTGAGATGCAGGACATCTCGTTACGCTAACAGTTTTTATCCACAAGCTGTTATCAGTATGAACAGAGCACTTTAATGATTTGCACTTGTTTTGAACTGTTTTAGGTCCGTGTATTTTTCGTTCAATTGTTTTTTCAAATTAAAATAGAAAATGAAATAACAAAAAATGGCTTGAATTTTCATTTTTCATTTTGATGAGGAAAAGGAAAAACGAAAAATTGGCTTGATATTTGATTTTTTGTTTCGATGCAAAAAAATTAAAAAACGAAATATTGAATAATGCTATCATGCCGATTTGATTTCATTTTTCGTTTTGGGGCAACCGGAAGTGTGCGCCAAAGCCCGGGCACCCCATTATTTTCGTCCGGCTGAAAACAGCCGAAAGCAGCCTGGCCTCAAGTGAGTTCAGTCTGGTTCAGTCTTGACCTGAAAATGTGAGGAATTAGGCGGAGGCTGCTTTCACCACAATTGCCTCTATATGCCAGTGAACTTGTCTTTATATGCCTGAAATGTGTGTCTTCGGGTCAAACACGTGACGTCATGCACGTTCACGTTAGCTGTAGCAGCGCTGGCTGTATCTGTCATTACTGAAGATGCAGAGAAGAGGTGGCTCTGGAAAGATGAATACAGTGGAGAATAACAAGAGACCGGCTTCAGGCAGCGCTGAAACTCCAGCCCAAACTAAAGTAAAGTGCTTGAAAGGTAAGGCGGTTGTTTCTAAGTACGTGTGGGCAAAAGTAGTGTTAGCTAGTTGTTTCAACGCAGCGGTCCGTGTATCAAAAGGCTACGTAGCAAAATGCTGTTTCTTTTGCCAGTAACTGAGTTTTGCTGCGTTTTAATTGTGGAAAACGCACAGAATGAGGCATGGATGTCTCCTTTTCCAAAATACCAGCCCTAGTAAACCCCAGCCAGATCTCTGCGTTAGAAGGAAATAACACAACAGCTAGCATTAGCTGGATATGCTACATGAACTGATGCGCAGCGTTTTGTTTACAAACGGGGCTATTTTAGAAACAACTGAAGTACCTACAGCTTTAGCAAAGGTCTCGTTGTTTAGTTAAGAAGGAGAGGCTTACAAACAAGTCCAGTATTCAGGCAATAATGTCTAAATTACATTATTATTATTGCATTATTCTCAATGTATTTCAATGTGTACAAACTTTGCACATGTGTTTACCAAAGCAAGTACTAAAATGGTATGTGTGAAGTTACATTCTTTTTAACACTGTTTTGTGTCCATATAGTTTGGAACAGCTAAAACTGAAACATGGGATGCACGGAGGAGATGATCGACAGATTAGTTGCCCTTGGTAAGCAAGCATATTCACTACTGTGTATCCTTACAGGCCTTTCTGTTACCGCTGACGGACTCTCCAGGTAATGCACTAAGCTCTTGGACATCTGATTATTATAGATTTGCTGGAATGTTTGTTTTTCATTATTTTCCCATTATCTAACTTTTTTTTTCCAAAAAGATCCCTCCACTATGTGCTTTACATACACAACAATGGAGCTAAACACCATGGACATCATCAGTGTTGTCAATGTGGACCAAGAAAGGGTTGACAGTAAAAGTGGTGCCATGGAGAAGGCAGCTTTTTATCAAAACCTTTGATAAACTCACAAAAGAGGTGCACATCGCAAAGATTGTAACTGATACTCGAGTATCGCTGCCCTTATGTATAAGGAATATTAAAGGTAAAGGTGCACTTGGTTGATCCCCGCAGGGCAATTCAATCCTCTGCATTTGACATAACATGCTTATGAGTTTTTAATTTGAATTGCAACTTGTTACAAGATTATTTTGTTGTGTTCTGAACAGATCGAGAAAAGGGCAGATATCAGGGTATTATTCCTTCACTTGATGTCTGGCATGCCTCAAATAATCTAACAAAGAAACTTCGTGCTGTATGTCGAATTATATTATATTATATTATAGCAAAGGAAGGTTTCTCACCCATCATCTGTACTTCTTAGCAAGTTTTCCCGACGTTTCGTCCTCAACCTGGGGACTTCTTCAGGGAAATATATTATTAGGCCCGAGCCCCGAACGGGGTAAGGGCCTATTGCTTTCACAATGGTGAAAGCAATAGGCCCACCAAAACGTGACGGTTGCGTGCGTAAACTCAAAAGCTTTAAAATGATGTATCACGTGCCATTGAAAGCTATATTGTTTTTGCTCGAGACGTCGAAAAAAAAAATTCCTTTTTTATTAGGCCCGAGCCCCGAACGGGGTAAGGGCCTATTGCTTTCACAATGGTGAAAACAAATGGTGGCGGTGAGTGACGGACGCGTCAGCGCCCGTCACTCACCAAAACGTGACGGTTGCGTGCGTAAACTCAAAAGCTTTAAAATGATGTATCACGTGCCATTGAAACCTATATTGTTTTTGCTCGAGACGTCAAAAAAAAAATTCCTTTTTTATTTATTTATTTATTTATTAGGCCCGAGCCCCGAACGGGGTAAGGGCCTATTGCTTTCACAATGGTGAAAACAAATGGTGGCGGTGCGTGACGGACGCGTCAGCGCCCGTCACTCACCAAAACGTGACGGTTGCGTGCGTAAACTCAAAAGCTTTAAAATGATGTATCAGGTGCCATTGAAACCTATATTGTTTTTGCTCGAGACGTTAACAAAAAAATTCCTTTTTTATTAGGCCCGAGCCCCGAACGGGGTAAGGGCCTATTGCTTTCACAATGGTGAAAACAAATGGTGGCGGTGCGTGACGGACGCGTCAGCGCCCGTCACTCACCAAAACGTGACGGTTGCGTGCGTTAACTCAAAAGCTTTAAAATGATGTATCACGTGCCATTGAAACCTATATTGTTTTTGCTCGAGACGTCGAAAAAAAAATTCCTTTTTTATTAGGCCCGAGCCC